CCTTACACAGTCATGGGTACCCTAGCTCTGAACAGAGTGCGGAGATAACTGTTCTGCTAAAATATGAACACCTAAGAAACGCAGGCCCGGGTTAGAGCATTTTCCACAGAACTGGAGAGTAAGGCCAAAAGCAACATACCTATTGCTTTTTCTCTCTTCTGCAAGATTTCCTGTATAATCAGAGGTTTGGTGAATTGGGCTTATGTTGGGCTTTGTGGAAATCTTGCTAGCAGGGAATCCTAAGTACATTTGCAAAATCAGCACTACTCTAAGGCTCAGGATCCTTTCCCTACATGGGAGCAAATGATAAAGTGTAATAAAGCTACGGAAACATGTGAAGTTCACATTCTTTCATTTAAAAAAGAAAAAAAGGGTACTGGCCTTTTTAGCTCAGTAAAGGCATCACCTAGTACAGGTACCACAAATCACTTGAGACACTTGTTAAAAAGTAAGGATTCCTAAGCCCTTCCTTTTTATGATCCTTATGTTACCCATATGACTTACCGCTGAGAAATAACATACCTTTATAAAAAGAAAAAAAAATACATTAATCTAACAAATAAAAGAAGGGTTTCTGTTAAGTTACCTGGGTTTTCTGAGTAACTCTAGCAGCAGGTATTTGACTGGCAATATTTTCACCAACCAATCCTGAATCAAAGAACTCAAAATCTCAGTTCTTTAGTAAAAAGACCACAGTTTCCAGCCAAAAAATCATGCAGAGAAGCCAAGTTCTCAAAGGAAAAAGGGAGTTCTGAGGGCCTCTCAGAACATCCTTAATCTTTCTCTCTCTCTCCCTTTTTCTGTTTTCCCCCATTTTTTAGTAAAGTAGGGACTTTGCTTCAATTTTCCATAGTACATGAGTATACAGAACTCGGACTGGATGCCTTTTATTTAAAAACCTTTAAGAATCTATCAGCTTTCAGAAGAGAGAATTTCTTTCCAAACCATTCTGAAGATATAAAATTATACCTTAATGAAGAAGACCCTTACCTCAAAGGACGGCTGTCAAGTCACCCACTTACTTTCAATAAGGATTAACAGAAATAGACCCAAATGCTTTGAATGCTTACAACTTATTGCGTGAATTAATCGGGTCATTCAGGGAATTTCAAAGCAACATAAACTATGTATAAACCACTTTTATAAGCAGTCGAAAAACAAAATTTAAATACATGCTGGTAGGAAAGAGATGAAAACTGAGTTTCAGGACCAGGACCTTAACTAACATCTGTAAACTACATTCTCCCTGCTAGAAAGTGCAAGCTGATCTATTCACTCCTGGCGGAGAAGAGGAAGGGAGTCCAGGTGCTACAAGAAAACCATTCAGGAGCACGTAGACCAGCGCCAAGGTCACAGCCCACCTGAATGATAAGTGAAATCCAGGCACACCCAGCCCAGGGAGCCCCGGGTTCTTCCTAAACTTGAACTCCGGGTAAAAAAGGCTTCCCAGTCACAGGTGTGGGAACACGGTTCCCCCTCTCCCTGCCAGATAAATAACGTGAGGACAGCCTCAAAAAACTCAAAATGCTGTGGATGCCTGAGCCTGAGTCGACTGCCCACCTGCAGGAGCAGAGGCCGTGGAGTCTGCTGGAGATGGGTTCGAATCCCAACTCTGCCACTCACTGGCCGTGAGCCCTCAGCCCAGTCCCTACCGCTCAGGACTTGAGGTCCCCCATATGCAAAAAGGGGACCATCCTATCTCATAGAGGTGGAGTGAAGAAGAAACCGAGGAGGAGTTCATAAGTAAATAAATAGAGCGTGCTACCTATTATTAGCGCTACCATGGCAAATGACTCCCACGGAGGCTCAAGAGGTAGGGCGCCGGGAACGCAAACTTTCTCAGGGGAGCAATCTAGCTCACGTCCCCTAAGGGGGCCGGGGAGACCTTTGTCCGCGCCACCTTTCCCGCGGCGGGCGCCGGGCGGGGCGGGGCAGCCGGCG